AAGGGTCAGGAGTTGGAGACCAGCCGACCAACGTGCGAAACCCCATCTCTACTAAAAAACAAAAATGTAGCTGGACGTGGTGTGCGCGTGCTGTAATCCCAGCTCACTTGGGAGCTGAGGCAGGAGAAGTACGCTTGACGCGGGCGGCAGAGGTTCAGTGAGCCGAGATAGTGCACGCATCACCTGGGTGACTGAGTAAGACTCTCAAAAAAAAAAAAAAAAGTCTGGTCAGTTGGTGGTGGGACAGAGTGAGGAGAAAGAATTTCTCACAGGTTTCCAAATCAGGTAACCTGGAAGATGAAGAGTTGTTGACTGAGAAAGAGATTCCACACTAAAGGGAGGAGGTGATGGGCTAGAGAAAAGATTGGTTTCTCACATGCTGAGAACAAAGCATCTCAGTAGAGGTGGCCACTTGGGCCCCATGGTCTGCTGCTAAGAAAGGGAGAACTTTTGATTTTTTTTTTTTTTTTAATGAATTATCAGCATATAGAAGGTAATTGAAGCCATGGGGATGAATGAGATCCTCAAGAGGAAAGTGGGTAAGGTAAAGAAGACAGCTCAGACCAGGTGCAGTGGCTCACACCTGTAATCACAGCACTTTGGGAGGCCAAGGCAGGCAGATCACCTGAGGTTGGGAGTTTGAGACCAGCCTGGCCAACATGGTGAAACCCCATCTCTACTAAAAATACAAAATTAGCCAGGGGTGATGGCACATGCCTGTAATCTCAGCTCCTCAGGAGGTTGAGGCAGGAGAATCGCTTAATCGCTTGAACCCAGGAGGTGGAGGTTGCAGTGAGCCGAGAGTGTGCCATTGCACCCCAATCTGGGCAACAAGAGCGAAACTCTGTCTCAAAAAAAAAAGAAGAAGAAGAAGAAGACAGCTCTCAGGATGGAGCTGAGACAGAAGCCAGGAGCCCAGATAAGAGATTCCATTGCAGATGGCAGATCAGTAAAGTGTCCTGAGAAAGAATGGTAGGAAGAGAACCAGTGTCCTAAGTTAAAGAAGGAAACATGTTTTAAAGGAGGAAGTAATCATCAATGCTGAAAAAAACAACCTAAAAGACCTCATTGGATTGAATCGTGAAGTTGAGCTGGGAAACCAGTTGCAGAGTGGACAGAAGCTAGAGAGTAGTGGGCTGAGAAGTAAACAGGGGACAAGGGAGTGGAAGCAAAGTGCAAACTTGTTATGTCACAATTTCCATGGTTCGCCAAAAAGATCCAGAATGGTTTTCCAGATAGAAATCACAGAACAGAAACAATATTGCTGTCATGATGAAAAAGAAAGGGCAGTGGGTGGGGTGTCCTGTCTTGTCCCTTTCCATAAATTACCACAAGGTGGTGCTCATGTCTTAGTCATCTCGTAATACTAAACGCCAATCAAATCACAGATCATTTTCTCTATCCTGCAGAACAACTTCAACAGAAGGACCAACAAATCCTACTCTTGTTGGAAGAGAAGGAGATGATTTTCCGGGACATGGCTGAGTGCAGCACCCCCCTCCCAGAGGATTGCTCCCCGACACATAGCCCTAGAGTTCTCTTCCGCTCCAACACAGAAGAGGCTCTCAAAGGAGGACCTTTAATGAAAAGTGCAATAAATGAGGGTAATTAACATTCAGCATTGCCTCCCTTTATCTCCTCCCAGAGTGGTTTACACTCTAATGTTATCTGCCAGTTTTTACTTTTTTACGTTAAAATAAAGCCGCACAAATGCAGAAAATTACCCAAAACAAATACTTCACTATAGTAAATAATCAGGTGAATATCCTTTTAACCACTACCCACATCAAGAAATTAAATGTGGCCAGACACCCTGAAGTGCCTTCGTCCACGTGCCCTGTCCCCATCATACCTCCCTCCCTCCAAAAGGAGCAGTTATTCTGGCCTTTTTTAAAATTAATCATTTATGCCTTTTTTTTTTTTTTTTTTGGCAGGATCTTGCTGCTCTGTTTCCCAGGCTGGAGTGCAGTGGTGCGATCTCGGCTCACTGCAGCACCCCCATCCTGGGTTCAAGTGATTCTCCTGCCTCAGCCTTCCAAGTAGCTGGGACTACAGGTGTGCACCACCACACCCAGCTAATTTTTGTATTTTTCATAGAGACAGGGTTTCACCATGTTGGCCAAGCTGGTCTCAAACTCTTGACCTCAAGTGATCCACCCACCTTGGCCTCTCAAAGAACTGATATTATAGGCATGAACCACCACGCCCGGCCGTTAATCACTTACTTATATATCTTTATGACTTAAGTGCCTACTCCTAAACATTATAGTTTAGTTAGCTTATTTTTTTTTTTTTTTTTTTTTGAGACGGAGTCTCGCTCTGTCACCCAGGCTGGAGTGTAGTGGCCGGATCTCAGCTCACTGCAAGCTCCGCCTCCCGGGTTTATGCCATTCTCCTGCCTCAGCCTCCCGAGTAGCTGGGTCTACAAGCGCCCGCCACCTCGCCATTTTTTTTTTTATTTTTTAGTAGAGAGGGGGGTTCCACTGTGTTTTCCAGGATGGTCTCGATCTCCTGACCTCGTGATCCACCCGTCTCGGCCTCCCAAAGTGCTGGGATTATAGGCTTGAGCCACCGCGCCCGGCCTACTTTGCTTATGTTTTTTTGATACGCATCTTAAAATTCTTAATTTACAGTTCCCCTCACCATCTTTTTTTTTTCCCATATAATTTATCTTTGAACAATATGAGCTTTTTGACTTAGAGAGTTTCCCACAGTTTGGATTTTATTCATACAGTTCTGTCCTCTGTTTCCTTCAGATTTGCAGCTGGATTCTCAGAGGCTTAATTAATCACTCAGACTTGATCTCTTTGGTAAATTGTGCCCTTATAGTGTGTTCTTTCATTGAGAGGGCATAAATTTAGTTGTCTCTTTTTTCGTGACATATAAGAAAAGATAAAAGGATAAACGCTTGATTATTTTTCCCCTCTATTTATTTACCAGTTTTTAAGACCATGAACATCTTCTGAAAGTGACCCATAGTTTTTATTATGGACTCATAAATTGAAGCATGTTTGATGGGGCCAGGCGCGGTGGCTCATTTCTATAATCCCAGCACTTTGGGAGGCCAAGGCAGGTGGTCAGGAGTTCAAGACCAGCCTGGCCCACATGGTGAAACCCCATCCCTACTAAAAATACAAAAATTAGCTGGGTGTGGTGACGTGCGCCTGTAGTCCCAGCTTCTCAGGAGGCTGAGGCAAGAATGTGTTTTGCTCACTTATTTTATGGACATGTCTTTCTGATGTGCTTTTGTTATCTGTAGAGAAGTTAGACCCTGTGTTTTCCCCACCTGTGTTTTCCCTTTATATGGGATTTGACTTCCATATTTTCTATTGCTCATTTTTATGTGAAATTAGTGTCTTTAAGTTTACAGGTTCATATAGATTTTCTCACACCATAGGACTCATCTATCATTTTTGTGTAGGTTTTCTTTTTTAACATGGCTTGTCTTATCAGATTTCCTGCAATTGGTTCCCTCCCTTATTCCACCTGGCCCTTCTTTTTCTTTATCTCTTTTTCTCCTGTTTAACTTTTACTCCATTTTCTCCACTTTCTTCTTTCTGTGAGCCATACCCTAGAAAAGAACCCTAGTGGGCCAGAGTTGAGATGCAAATTCTTAGACTACTCTAGCCCCTTGAACTCACTCCATATTAGCGAAGCCAGAAACCCTGACTGTTTTATTTGCTGTTCTCAAATCAGTCCATCTTACTTTCCAAGGAATACCTTCTGGCTGCTTTGGATATGATTCCAGAAGCCATGTAACTTCTAGTAAATTACTCTGCCTTCCCTGTACACTTTCGAATTTCCTAGCCTCTTGTATATAAAGTGGAAAGTCTCATCTCTAAATTTCTAGTAGAGTCCAACCAAAACACATACCCTGAGCTGAGACCCTTCTCTGAGCAAAGGAACTCACCCAGTCACTCTTTGGAAATTTCCAATCATGCTCTTTGTACATATCATGTATACTGTGAACTTGTTTTCTCCTCATTGAAAGATAAGATGTCAGCTTTGCATGTTTCCTTTATTCCAGTGGAGATCCTTCAGGGCTTGGTGAGTGGAAATCTGGGAGGCACACTTGGGCCAACTGTCAGCAGCCCCATTGAGCAAGAAGGTGCGGTCGGTCCTGTTTCCCTGCCCCGGAGAGCAGAAACCTTTGGAGGATTTGACAGCCATCAGATGAATGCTTCAAAAGGTAAATGATGTGAAGTCATGAGCTTTTATAGGCAATCCTTGACTGTCCCACACAACTCAAAATGATTTGTACTTTAGTAGCTACATTGTACTTTAGTAGCTACATCTCCGCTCCCATTCAATCAGTAAATTTCTTAGTGAGATCTTAAGACACTCAAGAGCCTGCCAATCAGACTCATATTCATTTTGAGTAACAAAAAAGATTTTCCTAAGATATCAGCTAAAAGAGTAATAATACATGTTCCTGCTTCCAGCTCTTCTGCATCCATAAAATTATTAGTAATCACTTAGCTGCCACCAAGCTGCTCCCTCTTTTGGGGGGCATCAGTAGGATTCAGAAATACTACGTCCCCAAGATACCTATATGATATTCTTTCCTTCGCTAATCTGTTTCACAACTTTAAAATAAAAAAAAAAAAAAAAAACTATTTTTTGTTTAGGAGGCGAGAAGGAAGAGGGAGATGATGGCCAAGATCTTAGGAGAACGGAATCAGATAGTGGCCTAAAAAAGGTATTTCTCTTTAAAATACACTATGAACCTCCTTGGCACTTTCCTCTGAATTCATAACCTTTGAAATTATTTCCCTTTGATGTTGTTTTGGGTGCCTGAATTGCTGCTTTTAATAAAATTATTTTCAGGGAAAATCACATTTTTAAAACAAACAGTACAGTTAAGAATTCCACATTATTGGGTGGTGGCCTCACTGGCTTAGGGTGGTGTGTTTACATTCATAACTCTACCATGGTCCTGGCAGGACCAGTTTCATTAGGAGGTTTGTTTCAGGTGCTCCAAACTGACCTGACCTTCTTACAAGGTGTCAGTGATAAATAGTTCAACCTTAAACCTTCAGTACCTTAGTGAGAGGCTGTGGTAGGAAAGAAAGAAAATGGAAAGCTATAGCCTAACAGAAACACACTGTATGTCATTTTTGCATCAAGATCTTCATTTCTTATATGTATGGTTTTTGTTTCATAGGGTGGAAACGCTAACCTGGTATTTATGCTTAAAAGAAACAGTGAGGTAAGGACATTATGAGCTATTTAAGAAAATATGTGTTTGTTACCATTGTCAAGTTAGGAATATTCTTTGTTCCTTTTTTTTCTTTTTGCTGTTACAAAGAGGCTAACTGCTGGCTATCATCTGTACATGTAAACAATACAGTTGTCAGTTTCCTTGACCTTTCCCCTTTTTTTGGTCCTAGGGGTACCATCTTGGAATTTTGCCACTTAGAGAATTGCCTGCTAAGATGGCCTTTGATTCTCTGTCCTTAAGGAAGCCTTTTTCTGCTTTTTTTTTTTTTTTTTTTTTTTTTTGAGATGGGGTCTCACTCTCCCTGTATCACCCAGCTCACTGCAACCTCTACCTCCCAGGTTCAGGCAATCCTCCAGAGTAGCTGGGACTATAGGCACGCGTGCCACCATGCCCAGCTAACTTTTGTATTTTTTGTAGAGACAGGGTTTTGCTGTGTTGCCCAGGCTGGTCTCAAACTCCTGGACACAAGCAATCCACCTGCCTCAGCCTCCCAAAGTGCTGGGATGACAGACATGAGCCACCTTACCCAGCACTTCTTGCTTTTAATCAGCTTTCTCTAAGTAGGGCCCGCAAAACCCCCGTGATGGTTTCCTTTGGTCTAAGCACACTGAGTAGAATTCATAGCAGCCTTTTCTATCACAAGCCTGATACCAAGAGCCACAGGTCTGGAACATGGGCATTTAACTTGTAATTTGACACAGTAATTTCTTATCCTTCAAGTACTCAAGTTATATCATCATCTTTTGGGGGGCGGGGGAGACGGATCTTGCTCTGTTGTCCAGGCTGGAGTACAATGGTGCAATCTCGGCTCACTGCAACCTCCATCTCCCAGATTCAAGCGATTCCCCTGCCTCGGCCTCCCAAGTAGCTGGGATTACAGGCATACACCACCACACCTGACTAATTTTTTGTATTTTTAGTAGAGACGAGGTTTTGTAGGTGTCAGTGATAAATAGTTCAACCTTAAACCTTCAGTACCTTAGTGAGAGGCTGTGGTAGGAAAGAAAGAAACCTCTTGTATATAAAGTGGAAAGTCTCATCTCTAAATTTCTAGTAGAGTCCAACCAAAACACATACCCTGAGCTGAGACCCTTCTCTGAGCAAAGCAGGTCAGGAGTGTTGCAAGAATCAGCCCGAGCACAGAACAAACCTCGGTCTTACTAAACAATACAAAAAATTAGTCAGGTGTGGTGGTGTATGCCTGTAATCCCAGCTACTTGGGAGGACGAGGCAGGGGAATCGTTGAATCTGGGAGATGGAGGTTGCAGTGAGCCGAGATTGCCTATTGTACTCCAGCCTGGAGAACAGAGCAGATCCCGTCTCCCGCCCCCAAAAATGATGATATCAACGTTTGAGATACTTGAAGGATAAGAAAAAATTACTGTGTCAAATTACAAGTTAAATGCCCATGTTCCAGACCTCGTGGCTCTTCGGTATCAGGCTTGTGATAGAAAAGGCTGCTATGAATTCTACTCAGTGTGCTTGACCAAAGAAAACCATCACACGGGGGTTTGCGGCCCTATTTAGAGAAAGCTGATTAAAAGCAAGCAAGTGCTGGGGTAAGGTGGCTCAGTAGCTGTCATCCCAGACACTTTGGGGGCTGAGGCAGGTGTGATTGCTTGTGTCAGGAGTTTGAGACCAGCCTGGGGCAACACAGGCAAAACCCTGTCTCTTACAAAATACAAAAGTTTTAGGCGGGCATGGGTGGCACGCGTGCCTATAGTCCAGCTACTCTGGAGGATTGCCGAACGCTGGTGAAGGTTAGATAGGTTGCAGTGCAGTCGGGTGGATCACAGGGGAGAGTGAGACATCTCAAAAAAAAAAAAAAAAAAAAAAAGCAGCAAAAGGCTTCCTTAAGGAACAGAGAATCAAAGGCCATCTTTAGCAGCGCATTGCTTCTAAGTGCAAAATATCCAAGATGGTAGCCCTAGGACCAAAAAAAAGGGGAAAGGATCAAGGAAATGATCAACTGTATTGCTTTACCAGGTACAGATGATAGCAGCAGTCTAAGCCTCTTTTGTAACCAGCAAAAAGAAGAAAAAAGGAACAAAGAATACTTCCTAACCTTGACAATGGTAAAAAACACAGTATTTTCTATAAATACGCTCATAATGTTCCCTGGTACCTCATGTTTCTTTTAGCATAAATACAGGGTTAGCGTTCCACCTATGAAACATAAATACTATACATTATAAGAATAAGAATCCTTGATGCCAAAATGCAATACAGTCGTGTTTCTGTTAAGGCTATAGCTTTCTTTCTCTTCTTTCCTCCACAAGCCCTCACTAAAGGTAACTGAAGGTTAAGGTTGAACTATTTATCACTGACACCTTGTAAGAAGGGTCAGGTCAGTTTGGAGGCACCTGAACAAAAATCCTAATGAAACTGGTCTTGCCAGGACCATGGTTAGATG